AGAGGTGTAATGTGGTCATGTTTTTTAGAAAGCATGACAAGACGAGCACAGGCATTTTGGACAGCTTGTAGACGATCAATCAGATATTTAGGGAGGCCATATAGTAGAGAGTTGCAATTGTCAAGTTTAGATGATATGAACGAGTGAACAAGGATTTCCGTAGATTTAACAGACAGGAATTTTCTGATTCTTGAAATGTTTCGAAGATGATAAAAAGAGGATTTGCAGGTCATTTTGATGTGATTAGCCAAGGACATAGAAGAGTCAAAAAGAACACCGATGTTACGAACACAAGAGGACGGATGAATAATTTCAGAGCCAAAGCTGATTTCAGGTGAGGAGCTCAATAGAGAGTGCTTAGACGAAAAAATAAGAAATTCTGTTTTGTCCTTATTCAGTTTAAGTTTGTTGATAGTCATCCAGAGATCAATATCACAGAGGCAAGCTTTAATACTGTTTAAGGCAGCATCCAAGGCGTTTTCATAATTACAGGAGAAAGGAATGTAGATTTGAGTGTCATCAGCATAGAAATTATATGACATTTTATGCTTCCGGAGAATATCAGCGACAGGAGAAGTGTAGAGGAGATAGAGAACCGGGCCCAGGACGGAACCTTGAGGAACACCACAACCAAGCGGAAGAGAGTCGGATGAGACATTATCTATTGATAGAAATTGATGGCGATTAGAGAGATAGGACTGGATAGGATTGTTTTGGATAGGATAGGATTGTTTTGTTTTCTCTGATGACGTCATTATACCAGGGAGCCCGGGGACGTGTTGAAATTATTTTAGTTCGAAGAGGTGCATGTTTGTTTAGTATTTCGGCAAGAACAGCGTCATATTGGTGACATAAAGCAGACAATTCAGTAGCGGGCGACTTACACAGCAACGACTCAGCGATGTCATGGCGAAAAGCATCTAAATCAATAGGAGACAGTACGTGACTTGCAAATAGGTTTGACAGCAGACAGCGAACAATGAACAGCAAAGTGATCAGACAGAACAGGATCATGAATAAAGAAATTACGAAGGAMGACATCATCAGTTCTTGTTATCAAAAGGTCAAGAGCATGGCCTTTCTTGTGTGTAGGGGGAAGTCGTGTCGATGAAGTGTAGAGAAAAACAGTCAAGTAGATCCAAAAATTTCTTGCTTGAATTGTCATTTTTGTCTGATCGACATGAACATTAAAGTCACCACAAATTAAAATCTTACCAGGATAAATGGACAACGGTTCTAACAATGAGGARAAGTCTTGAATGAAAGATCCAAACGACGAGGAAGGAGGTCGATAAACAACAACAACACAAAAAACTTGGTCATGCGAACGAAATTTCAGCTCAATGGATTCAAAGGAATTATAAACAGCAGATTCACATAGTTTTACATTGAAGGAATTACGATAAATAACAGCCACACCACCACCAGAACGATTTTTACGAGGAAGATGGGAAATGGGAGAGTTGAAAACACTGACCCCCGTTCCACGGACCCCTCCATGGACCATGTCCACGGACCACCCATGAAAACATTGCAAATACCAAATAATAGATTTGACAAGGATTATTTTGTATTTGCTCATCCAATAAAGGGTGTTAAGTTAATGATTTATTTTGTCATGTTGTCGGTCGGCCGCATTGTAACGTCAGTCTTTTGATTTTTTTGGGAACCACAATCACTCGTGCTTCGATCTTCAGCTTKCCGCATTATAGATTGAAAATTCAAACAGCTTGATTTATAGTGCGCAGATTCACATTTAAAGAGTAGGAAAATGCTATTACATGGTATAATTTATCAACTTTAGCCAATTTTCTTTCGACTGCTAACCGCTGACCACTCCTTTTTCACAAACACAGATGGTTGGTGGAAATCTGCGCACTATAAATTTCTATAAAACGTTAATGTGAAGAAGCAAGAGGAATTGTGGTGCAAAAAAAATCAAATGAAAATATAACGTGTAGAGGACTGACTTGACAAAGATAAAATCATTAACTTAATTCGAAACCCCCGTCCCCAACTACCGGGACTAGCGGAGTATTAAATAGTGACACGCTTTTATCAGCAGGATTGCCCCGGGGGTCGGGATTTTGATGAATTGTTTTTGAAGCGGGGGCATGTATAAATGTATAAAAAATTTTTAAAAGAAACTTATTACACAATCCATAGCCTCAATGTAGTACGCAAAAGATTATACAGGATTATACAAAACTTAACCCTGTGTATCACAGAAAATTTTACTGAAAGGTGCTTGTTTTGTTATTTACTACTAGACCAAAATAGCGGGACAAGTCTAGCGGGGATTTTAACAACCGAGTCTTACCGGGTGAAACGTCTTATTTCAACGCCACTCAAACATTAAATTCGCGGTTTTTCCCGGGTGTCGGGAAGCGAGCGTTTCAATTGACTATATAGCATGCATAACACCCTTTATTGGATGAGCAAATGCAAAATAATTCTTGTCAAATCTATTATTTGGCATTTACAATGTTTTCATGGGTGGTCCGTGAAGGTGGTCCATGGAGGGGTCCGCGGACCGGGGTCAGTGTTTTCAACTCTCCCGATGGGAAATAGAGTAGCCAGAGGGACACACATCACGGATTTCAAAGTCAGAGTCATCTTTTAGCCATGTTTCAGTCACAGCAAATATATCAAAATTATGTTCAACAATATAGTCTTTAACACGAAGGGTTTTCTTATTCAAGGATCTTGTATTTAGAAGACAAAAACGAATGAAATCTTTACTTGAAGGTATGGATGCAGTTTCAGATGGANCTGGCGGTGAAATTTATAGAGATCAGCTGAAGAATAAGTTATTTCAGGAATCCGACGAGATCTTGAGGAAGAACACAAAGCAGAATTCAAATTTGATAGATCAACGGACACATCATGGATCAGTGTTGAAAAATTATGCGGAGCTCCATTAACTTGATTAGCATGCAAAGGAGAACGTTTATCTGACAGAGTTTGACAATTAGACGATGAACAATTCAACGAAGCACAAAACGATGATGAGTTACAGGTAGTAGACAACACAGATGTGGAATTCAAAATTAACGGTAATTGATCAGAGTTACTTTTAGACGTTGTA